CGGAAGGACCCTGTCCTTTCACCCGTCACAGAGGGTCCTAGCAGCACATATTCCTCTCTAAAGGTGTCTGCCCACCGCGTGTGGGAGCATGGACCCTCCAAAGCATTTCTCACTGCCTGTTTAACATGGTTTTGAGCTGAGCAATGAGACTGGTGGGCTGGTTGGTAAACCAAGCAGAGGCACCAACATGGGGGCCACTGGAAACAGGCAGGTTGCTGCTGGGTGTATGGATGTCTGCCGTTCCCATGGCAGTTCTGTGTTGAGCACAGCTGGTATGTCACACCTGAAGGCTCTGGGTATGCTGAGCCTTCCTTGTCTCCCTCTCACAGTTCCTGGGGTCAGGCCTACTTTAACTCTTGGACTGCTGGCTCCCCACCCCCATGTTACACAGGGGGCAAATGATCTCAGGCTCTTTGTCTCAGCTGCCTCTGGTCACATTCTCCTGGGTATGCTCCTGGCCGTTTACTCAGGTGACTTGTACCTGCTCCCTGTTTGTGAGCACGTGTCACCTCTCCCCACCCTTCCCCTAAGAGGGAGCTATAGCAATGTGTTCCCAGAGCTCCATCCTTTTCCTTTCTCTCATCTCAGGGGCTCCTGCCCTGGCTCAAGCCCCCTTCACCCATTGTTTAAAAGCTGCACTTGCCAGTAATCAGCCCTTCTGCCTTCCATTGCCAAGCCTTCCGGGTGTCTTCTGGGACTGTGAGTGTGTAGAGGAGCAGGGGTCTTTGGGAGCTGGGGCAGACTCCTGAGGGGCAAAGTGGGGAGGTGTGAGATGGGAAAGTCCTGACTCATCCAAGCTTGACTCAGCTCGCCCTGCGGCTGGGTGGTAGCGAGGGGGTGGAGTCCTAGGGGGGAGGGCCACTCTCATTTTTCTGGGGAGGAGTCTTGGCCTGACTGGGGCCACTGGAGAGGACTAATTTTCTAACAGCCCCTCCCCACATTGTTATAGGTCCCCAATTTTTAGGACTGTAAATACAGGAGGTAGTGGGTGGCCCTTGCTCCTTCCCCCTGCTCCCCCCAAGGGACTGGGCATGGTGGCTGGAATGTGAGAAGCCCACCTATCTAGTGTAGGCTCAGATGAGCAGTTATGGTTCCAAGGGGACACCACAGTCCTGAATGGGGGCCCTGACACTGCCACGTACTGGTCACATGACCCAAGGGCACATCACTTCCTTTTCCCACCTCAGTTTGCTCATTGTGGAATGGGATAGATAGTTTTGAGAATCAACGAGGTGGTGAAGGTGAGAGCCTGAGATGTATGTCAGCCATAGGCCTGCCCCTAAGCCCAGGTGTCTCCAGGGACTCCAGCCTCGGTTCTTCCCTTGTTGTGTTGCAGGAGATAGGGGTGGCAGGTTGCTTCCCAGCCAGGCCCTGGACTTTGGAACATTCCTCTGAGGAGCCTTCCTCCGCAGAGACAGAGCGGGAGTGGGGAAGGCCAATGTGCCCCGGGGTTAAATTAGAGTTAGACTCCCACAGGGTGGCACGTGGGGCCCCCTCACTTCTAGGTCCCAGCCCAGTCTTCAGGAACCCTGCAGGGAGCCGCAGGAGTGTGCACCGGTGTCTGGCTGGGTCTGTCACCGGGACAAAGCTCCTGGGCCTGAGACTCCTCCCCTTCCCTCCCCCACCTTTCACCGGGATCGCTGCTTGCGGGATGGGGAGGGGGAGGGGTACGCAGGGCAGGGGGCGTTTAGTTGAGGCTTCTGCGTTTGTGTAAGTCTGTGGGTGTATCTACGGTCCTCTGTGTGTGTTTCTTTGTGACAACCAGGCTCAACTTTCCATGGCTCCCTTGCGGCCAGACCTCAGTCTTTTCATCTGTTCAATGAGTCGGAGAGCTAGTTGACAGCCCCTGGCAGCCCCGGGGTCTGCGCGTGGCCCAGGCTGTTTCGGTGGCTCCCGCTTGGGCCAACGCTCTCTCGCCTCCTGCACACCTCCGCGGGTTGCGCGTGAGCGCGCCTCTAGTTTCCTGGGCTCCGTGCGTGTCTTTGTCTCCCTGTCCACGTGTGAGCTGCGAGTGTGTGTGAGTCAGAGCCCGGGTGCTGTGGGGCTCTAAGCCCCTGCCCGGCCGGCGCGCGCCCAGCCCTGGCGGGACGTGTCCGTGTGTCTGTCTGCGCGCGCGGGGCCTGGGGAAGCACGCTGCAGCCCTGTCCGCCTGCCGCTCCCTTGCCGGCTGCCTCGCTGGCTCTGTCGCTCGCCCGCTCCACGCTCGGCCCCTCCGCTCGGGCTCTGCCGAAGGGGGCGGGGTGGGGGTGCAGGGCGGGGGGAGGGGAGGC